ATCTACCTTTTTAATAAAAATTTTAAATGTTCATTGTGGAAGAATTGGAAACCGCTAATATCCAACTAGCCAGAGATTGCCACTATTAACATTTTGGTGTTTTTTCTTACCGACTGTGTATTTTTTAATAGGTAGGGACCATTTTAACGTGTATAACTTAATTCTGACTGTTTCACTAAACATTAGATCTTGAGAAATTCCCGTGTCATTAAATATTCTTTGAAAATATGATTTTAAATGACTTCACAATGTTCTGTTATATTGGTGTACTGTAATTCATTATAGCAGTGCCCCATTTGGGGTATTTACTCTATTTTTCCCTATTATAGATAACCCAGCAGTGAATGTCTCAGTGTGCTTCTCTGTTGATTTCCTTCAGATAGATTCCCAAAGTGGAATTATTCATCACAGGCTCTGAACCTTTTAAGTCTTTGAGCCACCCTGCCCAATGGACCTGCGGGAAAGTTGCCCTCCTTCACGCTCCCTCCCGCCCTGTAGAGAGGCCTGTGTCCCAGCCCCTCCCAGTTCTGTCTTTTGGCAGATGGGGCGTGTTTGAGATACAGCCTGATTCCCAGCACCGGCTCCGCCTTGAGAAGACTCAGGGCATGCAGCAGCTGCCATCCAATGTTTGATGTTGAAGGTCTATCCCTGCGAAAGAGGGGCTGGATTGGTCCTTTGAGGCCCCTGGGATGAGGCCACACCCACAGCATGAGGATCTCCCTGGTGGTTATAGACTCCAGGTGACAGGCTCCCCCGCCCCACCCCGCATAGCAGGGTCTCTGCCCCGGCTCTGTTGAGCCTGAGGCTCTCTTTGGGGTTCCAGGACCAGATGGCAGGTTAGACCCCAGGACCCTGAGAACCCTACTGCTGGGACAGTTCTGTGAGCTGACCATCTCAACCCTATTCTACAGTTATGAAACATGGGAAAACATTGACTCCACTCCCTTAGAAGCTCTCTGAACCTCTGTGTTCTCAGCTGTAAGATGGGGTTGCTATGAGGATTGAAGTTGATTATATTAATATAATATTATATTAATAATAGCTGTTAGTGTTGGCGTTGGTGTATCAGTGTGAGTACTATTGAGAGTGTTAGTGTGAGTATGAGTACGAGTATGAGAAGGCAGTATTGTGTAGCAGTTAAGAGTCAGGTCTAGATCTGGTCTCTAGCCACATCCCCTTACCTAAATTGGAATAGAAAATAGAGGCATTTGTGGGGTCTGGGGGGAGGATTATTCACATTTTTAAAAAATTCAGAAGAAGCTTCCTTTAGAACACCTGCTATATGCGTTTTATTTGTTCTTTAATTTTTATGCCTATCAGAGTGATAATTGTGCAGAGGTCATAAAGGCTAATAGGACTCGAAGGCCCATGGTACTGTAAGTGATGTGCTGGCGTCGGCTTGCGCTGGCCCATGAGAGCCTATAGTTAAATTTTTAGGAGTTTTGCAAGCCAGTTGTTAAACATGGCCATTATTAAAAATTAAGTTATGCAAACTTTCAATTACATAAATTATATTAAAAATAGAGGTAGCAAATATTAAAAATTCATTACTTCCTACTTATTTTATTACTATCTGTGTTCTTGTGATTCTTTACATCTATTATATCTATATGGTAGAAATATTATATAACGGTGTGCTACTGTGAGTCTCTAACTCTACTTTTGGTGATTTCACCTAAGTAGCTTGAAGTTAGCTATGGCGGGAATACTTACACCACGGAAATTGGCAAATGCTACAGATGAGAGCCTTTTTTTCCCTGGAGAACCAGTTGTTAAGCATTTACCAGCACACCACAGCCTGTAACCTCAATCCCTGTCCCACTCTGGTATACCCCCATTTCCTACTCCCTAAATGTAGCTACTTTCATTGCTTTTAGCTGTTTCTTTTTGCACTTATCTCCATATTTCTTAATTATAAGCTTTTACTGCTGTGTCTAGATTTTTTAAATCTTGGACATCGTCTGTTGACTTCCTATTATGGAAGATGAGGATCTGGCTGTCTTCCAGCTCTGTCTCCCCCCTTTCTATGCACATACACACACACACACACACGCACACACTTTCCCTACCTCTGTCCTGCCAGTGTATTATAGCACAACTCTTGTTTAAATAAATATTCAGGATTTACGTTATTAAAACTATGTAAATATTGTACATACATCATTATCACTATGATTACATTAAGCTTTCTTATACAACTGTTTTCCTGGAGTTAATAATTGTATTTTAATTTGCTTAATTTCTCTATGGAACAGTGGTTTTCAAATTTTTCTTCTTAGCAGTGGAACTTGTCTTACAAACAAAATTTTATGTGGAACCCTACTATCTACAATGGGAAACTCAGAGCTGCCAGGTTGAGAGGGGGTCCTTCCCTACGGGGCTGCTGCGTATAGCCAGCAGGTTGTACACTGCACAAGTCCAGCGGTCACCATTCACGTAAACGACAATGTGATTCGGTCTTGAAAATCATAATTATCCACGCCATTGGGAAATGCATCCATTGTGGTAAGAGAGGCCCACCTGGAAGTATACATGACATCAGGGTCATTCTCTGCTTTGAAAGACTTACTCCCTTCCCGATGCAGGGCTTTGGCCTCTCCCCGTCTGAACAGGTTCCAGTGATGTTGCTTCACCTGTCCCTCCTGTGCATCCTCCACAGGCTGCTGGCCAGAAGCTGCTCTTAGCTGATGGCCACCTATGGACTGATTCGATGCCCCTCAGATTTGCCTGGGCTCGGCTGGGTGCCAAAAGCCTAATGCAGACTGCTTTGCTCAGGGATCGCTCCAGTGCAGCCTTTGGGATCAGACGTAAGGAATGGCTCTCTCAGAGAGTAAGTGAGCTGTGGAAGCAGACAGTGCAGGGCCCGTGTGCCCATGGAAGTCAGAGCTCGAGGAGGGGAGCTGGCTAACAATGGGCAGTGGGGTTCAGAAAGTTCAGCTTTGAGAGTCACCCCTGTGTGGGAATCCCAGCTTCGCTTTCAGCTGAGCAACTTTGGGCAAGTTGCTTAGCCTTTCTGGGCCTTAATTTCCTCATGCCTAATGCACAGGGTTGTTGTGAGAGTTCAAGAAGATAATGTGTAACCCTAATAAATCCCAGGGTCCCATGTGGCTCAGTCTCTGCTCAGAGGCTCATCTAAAGAAACATAGTCCAGCAGCCCAAAAGTAATTGAAAGAGATATTCCGATTGGAACTGCATCCCTCATAGAATGTTGGAGGGGATCTCATTTCTGTCTGATAGCAATATTCCCAAGCCCTTTGCTGCATTCTCTAGTTTTCCCACAATACACAGTGTCAGTGAAGTTCTCCTGAGCATAACCTTTGAGGCATTTTCCCTTCTCTTTCTCTGCCTCGTTCCTCACCCTCCATACCACTGCCATTTTCTCTAGGTCTGTTTTTCCTCTACTCATCTCGCCATTGCTGTGTCACAAAAAATCAAACAGTCTGGAAATGAGCTAATGGAGATGCAGGCAGGCGGTGGGTGGGGAAGAGGTCAGACAGGACACACCCTCTGAAGTAACTCTTGCCCACCACACTGGGGAAGTGCAAGGCACGTGGAGCAGGGGCTTGGCAGAAACTGGTTCTCTTCCTCATTATTCAGTCACGGAACCAAAAGGAGAGTGAGGGATGACCCGCCCAAGGTGCCTCTGACCTCCTAACCGTGATAGCAGATGGCAGTGACTGGAAAAACCTTGTTTCCTTCAACACCCCCCAAAAGCTAGTATTAAAAAGACTTTGGAATGGAGACATAGCTTCTGCCTACAATTTTCCTTCCCTTTCCTGCCACCGTTATGGGCCCTAAGCATGGACCTACCCTTCCCTACCTCTCATCCCCACATCCCTTGTTCCATCTTTGGTGGACTCCATTCCCCTCACAGGATGTCTTTCAGGTCATGTACTGAGCACCCACTCTGTGCCAGGCTTGTAAGGAGCTGGAGATTCAGAGACAAAGCAGACACAGACCCTGTCCCCAGACACAGACAAATAGAAACAGACTGCCATTCTCTGTGGTCATGCCTATACTAGAGGGAAGCACAGAATGCCGTGAGCACACAGAAGAGGCGCTCTTAACCCACTGAGGGATCAGGGAAGACTTCCAGGAGGAGGCGTCATCTAACCTGTATGATAATAATAACTGCTGTCTATACTGAGCGTTCATTATGATGATAATCTGCACACTAAGCCCTTTGCTAAGCACGTTAGGTCTTTTAATCTTCACGACAATGCTAAGTGGGTGTTGCTATCCTCATTTTAGGCATGAAGAAACCGAGGCTCAGAGAAGTTCATTGACTTTCCCAAGGCCACATAGCTAAAAAGAAGCAGAGCTGTGATTCAAATATGTGTGCTCCAAAGACTGTGTGACTCCAAAGACTATGCTTTCAACCACAGGGCACTACGTACAGGTGTTTAAGATGCACACTGAACAAGGATGCCACATCTGGGAGCGGCATTGTTCACATCATGGGCAGAAGAATGTATATGAGAGTGTGTAGGTGAACCCAGAGATTCAGGCCTCTCTGCTGATTCCCGCGGCAGCAGCAAAGAGCCTCCTGATCTAAACCTAACGGTGGCACCTCCTGTGGGCGGGTGACGAGTATGGGTACTGGGGAGAGCACAGAGACCCCAGTGTCTGGGTGTATGCGCTGCCAGGGCTGCTGCCCACCAGGCTTTGGTCACTCAGGTGGATAGTAACATCTTGACTTTAAACTTGTCTACTTGAGGAAGAGGCACCTTTTCCTAATTTGCACAAAGGCATCATATGGACCAACAGTGGTGCCACCCCCCACTCTGCAGTGTGGCCCGCTCCATCACCATTCAGTGTTGGGGAGGACGCAGCCACAGAGCAATTAGGCCCAGCCTGACACAGACCCAAAGACGAATAAGACATTGGTGGATCCTCGAGGACCTTCCAGTCCGGTTTAGAAGCCCAGAATAAAGGCTCTCCTTTCAGGGCCACCCAAGGACCATCGAACTAATCCCCTTCTCTTTCTTTGTCCTCGGCAGACGGGCAGGATTGAACCCAACTACCCCAAGGTCTGTGGTCACCAGGGCAACGTGCTGGACATCAAGTGGAACCCCTTCATCGACAACATCATTGCCTCGTGCTCGGAGGACACATCGGTGAGCAGGAGGGGTGCTCCCCGAGGAGGGTGGGCCCACAGGGACTCCTCCCTGCTTCCCCCTGGAGGCCTCCCTTCTTAAACTCCCCCCTCTCTCCCTTCTCTGCCCTTCTTCTGTCCTCTTTGTCATCCTTCTAGCTAGCCCCAGGGTGGGGAGGGAGTTAGGAAAAGGACTGAGGGAGCGAATCCATGAACTATTTGGCAGATCTTGTGCCGTTAGCATGGTTTTGTTTGGAGGTGTTGATTTCGTAGGTGAAAATTTGAACAAAAAGATTAAGTATATGATTCAGCACTCGTCTATGGTCTCAAAAGGAGAAGGGCGAGAGGAAGATGATGGACAAGGAGGAAGGGGAGAAAGGAAGGAAATGGATGAGCCCTGAGGAAAGGAGCCCCTGTTCTTGCAGGCTGGGCATGGCAAATGTGCCATCTGGTTCTGTCCTCTGTGAGCCGTGGTTTTAGGGAAGGACACTGGGCTAAGAATTGTTGTGAATTGTCCCACAATAGTGGCCCAGAAATTGAAGTCCGTGTGTCCCACCGCTTAATGGGAAGGCAGAAGGAAAAGGAGAAGGGAAATGAGGAGGAGGGAGCAGGGAGGAGAGGGAGGGAAGGGGAAGAAAGAACAGATAGGAGAGATGGAGATAGAAGGAAGAAAGTGATCAGAGAGATTTTGGAGAGGGGAGATAAAGAATCCAGGGAGAGTAAAATTTGAAGCTGCTCTCTGGCCACCGTTTCCCCGGGCTCTGCTAATGTTCACAGGTAGAGGTAGGGTCAAGTGTTGTTGGTAGCCTCCATGTTTCTAGAGAGGGGCCCCATGCCTTTCCTCACACTGCCCTGAGCAACATCAACACACCAGGTTGGAAGAAAGAGGGGATTTCAGAGCCTCAGCTGAGCTGGCGTGGAGAGGCTGCCCGAGCCCCTGGTGCTCCCAGGTGAAGGAAGATCAGCCTTGCTGTCAGGCCACAAGCATCTACCTAGTGCTCACCGGCATAGCCTGGGTACAGGTCATAGACTCCCGGGATACTGGAACTGGAAGGAACTTCAGAGCTCATGTCTCCTGTCTTCCCAGACTAGACTGTGATCCCCTGGAGCAGAGAGTATAGCCTGTTTGGTTCTGAATCCTAAGCATCCAGCACAGAGCCTAGTACCTAGGAAATGCTTAGTAGGTATTGGATAGGATGGATGATTAAATGGATGGATAGATGGATGGATGAATGGATGCATGCATGCCGGGACAGAAGCCTAAATGGATGGATAGATGGTTAGATTATTGGATAGATGATTACATTGATGGGTAGAGAGATGACTGAATGGATGGAGAATGGATAGACAAAGGAAGGATGACTGGATGAATGGGTGACTGGATGAAGGTGAATGGACAGATGGATGAAAGGAAAGATAAACAAATGAATGCATGAGTGAATGAATATAGCCCAACTAATCCATTATCCAAAGAGAGAGAGAGATTCACTCTCTTTTCTTTCAATAGTCTCCACTGGTTAATAAAGTTGGAGGGAGGTCAGCTGGCACAGTATCTAGTAAATGGGAGTGGTAGGGAGGGGGCTAAGAGAGTGGAATGGACGACCACCTGAAGGTCAAAGCCCTAAGTCAACCCAAGAGGATTCCTGAGAGCAGCAGCAGTGAGGGCAGGGCCCGTGTGAGCAGAGAGAGCAGGAACTTGTGGTGAATATGGTCCATCAGGTTTGGTTACTTTCTTCAGCAAAAAGGGGACAGTGACCAGGGGCAGAGAACAGGCAGGCCAGAGGATGGGCACGAGGTGATGGATCCCAGGACAGGCGAGGAACCCCGGGGGGAACGAGGTCACTGGCTGCTTTCTGGGCTGGGAAGGAGGCAAGTGGAGCTGGTCGGGGCTGGAGAGTTCAGTGGTCAGTGCAGGTAAGGACTGGGCTCAGTGGGAGAGAGAGCAGGTGGAGGTGCTGCCCATCCTTCTCTTCTGGGTGCAGGAAGCCCAAGAAGGAGTGCCAGCGACCACAGCCGGCTCCATCCCTGCCTGCTGACGTGTTGAGCAACTGTCACCAGCCATCAGGGAGCAAACACCCCTGAAACTCAAGGCTGCCTTATACCAAGCTCCTCCACCCACTCTGGGCTGGACGTTTTCCACACAGTTAGCCCTCACGGCCACTCTGAGAAACAGGCACTGCCACCCCCAGACTGAGGGTTGGGGGCAGGTCACAAACTAGGAAGCAGAGGAGGGCTGCTAGCGACACAGCCCGTGCTCTTTCTGTTCTGCGAAGTCTCGTCATGGCGTGAATCCAGAGTCTGTGCTGGAAGCCTCAGGCCCCTCTCAGTGTCTCGTGTCACCAGGGGAGCCAGCTTGGAAAGAGAAGAGCGGTGTCCAGCTCGCTGAGGGAGGGACAGATCAGGCCGGGGCTCTTGGAGTCCCTGGCCACTCTGGCTCCACCACAGGTCCAAACTTCTTCTGCCGAAATCAGGGCGAGGGCAGGAGGGCTCACTGGCCCTGGTGGCCCTGCCGGGTTCTAGCTCAGCAGCTTGTCTCACCTGAGAGGTGCCTCATGCTCTGAGACCTCTGCTAGGAAACCAGACATCCATGCTGTGTGTTCAAGGAGAGCATTAAGACCCCAGCCCTGGCCACACAGGCCAAGCAGCTCTCTTCAGTCTCACACATGCTGCCTGAAGGACCACTGTGTGCCCACCACGCTCTGGATGCTGGGCTTCAGAGCGAGCTCGACCGTGGAATCTGGTGGACCCATGATTGAACCTTGGCTTCACCATTTACCAGCTGGGCATGTTACTTACCCTCTGAGCCTCCGTTTTGCTCATCTTTATAACAGTTATGATGATACGTCCCTTTGGCAGTTGCTGTGAGGATGGAAGGAGATCTGTGCCCAGCACCATGCCTGCTACTCCCAGTCCTGCCCTGGAAACCCCGGCAGTAGGGGGACAGGATCCCACCCACTCACCAAAAAAGAATGCAGAATGATGTCACTGCAGCCACCGAAGTCACACAGAGGGCTGTGTGCACGGGGAGGAGAGAGGGATTCATTTTAACCGAGGTGTAGGCAGGGCAGAGGGTTAGAGAGAGCTGGGCCCTGGAAAAGCAGGACATTGACAGCAGAGAAAGGGTTGAAGGAGGCGCAGGCAGAGGGTACAGGCAAAGACCTGGAAGGAGGGTGTCTTAGTGTGCTCGGGCTGCTGTAACAAAATAGCACAGAATGAGTGGCTTATAAACAACAGAAATTTATTGCTCTCAGTTCTGAGGCTGGAAAGTTTAAGATCAGGGTGCCAGCGTGGTCGGGTGAGGGTCCTCTTCTCATGTATCCTCACATGGTGGAAGGGGCTGGGGAGCTCTCTGGAGCCTCTTTTATAAGGGCACTAATCCCATGCGTGAGGGCTCCCCTCACGACCTGATCACTTCCCAAAGGCCCCACGTATTGAGAGGTAGGATTTCAACATATGAGTTTTAGGGCAACATGAACATTCAGAGCACAGCAGAGTTCATATGATATGCTTGGAAAACGGCGTCATCTGATGTGGCTGGAGTCTTGGGGTGGCCAGGGAGGGGAGTGGGCAGGAGAGGAAGTTGGGACCAGAGAGAAGGCTCGGGATGCCAGGGTGAGCAGCTGAGCTTTGAAGTGAGACCTGTGCTTCTCAAGCCCTCTGAGCATAAGCCGGACACCACACCTGCAGTGTGTGGGAGACGCTGCACACTCCGGGGATCAGGCAAGGGGAGCTAGTGGGGCTGGAGGGGTCACTGCCAGCTTTGTGGAGGAGGTGGGGCCCAAGCCAGCTGCACAGTGCTGGAATGTGGCTCTGCAGAGAGAAGGGGAGTACCCAGGGGAGGGGGAGGGGGCAGGGGGTGGGTTGTAAAGAGAAAGGACCCTGGGCTTTGGGGCACAGGGAGGGAGGGGCTGGCCCAGGGCTGCTGATCCAGAGAGAAGGAGATTAAGTCTCCAGACCAGAGAGGAACTAAGCTGTTGCTCCGGCTGTCAGTCCAGCTGCCCCAGAAGCAGCAGCTCAGAGCCCCCACCTTCCCCCTCAGGTCTCCACCCCTCCCCAACCTCAGGGCCCAGGATCTTGGCAGGGGGGCCAACAGGCCCCTGAGGCTGGAGCCAAGCCCCTCCTGGAGAAGGGCACACTGAGGCCCCAGGGACGTGCCTTGCCCAGGGTCACACCGGGAGTCCCTGTCACAGGCAGGGCTGCGACCCCGTCTCCTGACTCCCAGCCAGCGCTCTGAGCACCTCACCAGCAGCCCTACTTTTACAGGTGAGGAAACTGAGGCTCAGAGCCGTGAAGGGCTGACAGTTCAGATCCATCAAGCGCTCAATATTTAAATCTCAGTGTCCTCTCTGCAAAGCTGTGCGGGGCACCGAGGGCACACGGAGCACAGGCATCCTCGACCGGCCCTGGGAGGGGTGGGATGTGAAGGCCGTGGAGCCTGCAGCTCGCAGGGTGGGGTGGGGAGGCCTGTCCTCACTGCCAGGGCTGTTCTGACTGCCCTTCCTGCTTCCATCAAAGCACCTCAGGGGGCAGGCCGCTGAGACACCCTCCCTCCACCCCCTCCCACCCAACTGGTCAGCTTACTGCGCATCAGACACGACACCCGGAACCATGGTTAAGAGGTCAGTCAGCAAACCTACTATGTGCCAGGCCCTGCGCTTCACACCGGGGCTGCAGAGAGAACCAGCCCGAAGGGGCCCGGGGAGCAGCTGTTCCAGCGGGTCTGGCCTGCATCTCCTGGCAGTGCCTGCACACCCGCTCCCCACCCCCACTCCACCACCCTGTGTGTCTCAGAACATTCAGAGGACACTGAGGGGATCTGGCGAGCCTCCACCCCCCCCAGCTCCTTTCCCGTACCCCCATCCCTTGAAAAATCTCCAGTGAAGTCCATTCGCCGTGTCCCTCAGGATCGGCCTCCCATCCCCCCGTGTGAGGAGGTCCTCAGGAGTCTAACCCCATCCCTCCAGGGATCCAGTGGAACATACCCAAGCACCTTCCCAAGGGGCTCTTGTCCTGAGGGTGGGG